AAGATTTGTGAATAATAACAATAGTTTTTCCATAATATTATCCATAATATTATTTCAAAATTAAATTATGACGCTCGACTTATAACTATATTTTCATTTCATTTCGATTTTACGAGCTCAACCTAAAAATAATAATTATTATTCATTTGTGACGGAGAATCTCGGCTAGGCCGATCTCGTCCGTTTGGCTCTCGCAAATGTCCGTGCGCCGCGCCAGGCTGAGAGTGTGTGCGTTTGGTACACACACTCACGCTTGGACCTTTTGTTTACGAGGTGCTGAACACGGGCTAAGCTGACGACTGGAGCGATGCAGATGGCGTAGAAGAAGAGAGAGAGAGAGAGAGAGAGCGCTCGAATTGCAGATCGTCGCGGAAAATTCGGGGAATCTCTGCTAAGCGATAAGCAGAGGAAGTCGCGCGCGCGGATAAAACCGACGGTTACAATTTTTCCAAGTTGGCCCCGCGACCTCGTCGACGATCATTCGTTTCGAAGACACGCCCGGTGCGCGGATGAGTATTGGAGCGTAAGGCTGGGTCGCGCCCAGCCGTATCCCAAAGTATACCCGGCACCGGCGCGTGTGGGTAACCGGCGAGGTGCCCGGGTGCGCGCGTGAGCAGTCTGGACGTGCTGCGGTATCGAACGATAAAGAGGCGGTGAAGACAACAGCAGTATTGTGGAGCGAACGAGAGGACGAGAAGGAGAAAGGTAACGACGACAAAAGAGAATACCAGCGAGACGGCCAGCGAGGAGCACACCAGTGACGTCACGGTGCAGAGCGCTCTAGCCGTCAGACAGGCTGAAGGTCGAGGTCGGTGCCGTATTTTTCTCTTGTCTCTCTCTCTCTCTTGCATGTTTGGGCGCCAGCTTATGGCTGGTAGCACGGCAGATCTGCTGGCTACCCGTTGGTAGACTATCGGCGAAAAGTGTTTGTCGGGCATTTGTTATAGTATTTAGTTTTCGCAAGGGAGTCGGCCGACTGACCAGCCACCGATTCACCTTCGCGTTCGTGTTTGTTATTGTAACGCTCGTAGTATATAAGCCTGAGATCGCCGTATTGTAATCAATTGTTGACAATTAAATGACTAGTGTGTTAATCCGCTGTTGTGTTTATTCGCCGCTGTATCACTCCTCATCCCGACTTCCAATCTGTGCGTTTAATGTGTTTATGCTCAACGCGTTATTCAGTCGTGGGAACGTCTTTTGCTTCCGGAATCCCCGAATAAATAATTTGTACGGACGGTCGCGAGCAATCCAGACGGGTAAGGCCGGAATTCTCCGTTACACATTAAAATAATAATTATTACTCAGGATCCTTACCAATGAGTCCAATCCAATTCCTCGGCTTCTTATAAGTTGAGAACTTACAAGATTATAAAATCTTAATTTTCTGATATATCACAAGACCAAGTCAATTTGTTGACACTAAAAGGAATATTTCCATATGAATACATTGGTAGCTAGAAAAAACTCGAAGAAATGCGATTGCCTGAATAGAAAGAATTTTCTAGTAGGCTTAGTGGTACAGATATTTCTGAGATTATACGCATGTGAAAAAAGTTTTGAATCTATTCGAGATAAAAATTCTTGGTGAATATTGTGATTTGTGGGATGCAATACTGAAGTATACAAAAGCGAAATTAAACTTTTGACAGATGTGGATATACACTTGTTTACAGAATGTGGAATTTGCGATGGGTTGAGCGAGTGCTCAGGTCGGTATGCAGTAACCAATAATAGATATATGAAGGGAAATTTTGATAATAACAAAAAAGAAATATACATTACCAATCAAGACCATAACAACGTATATGGTTATGCAATGACTCAATTATTACCACATAGTAAACTTGAGTGGATTAAAAATATTGACAGCATTTATCTATGTCTTGGTTTCTTTCATATAACAAAATGTGTCAAAGCTGGTATTGATAAATACTTGCAAAAGAGTGGTGATAGAAACGTATTTATTGAAATCAAGTTATATGGAATAAACATGATCGATAAAATTCTCGATAGAAAAAGTTACAGGAGATGTCGAAAATGTTTCGGTTATTTAGCTGAAGCGTTACAAACACTGTAGCTCAAGGTATTTTTCACTTCTGAGAGATTGAAATAATATGAAAATGAAATATTAACTGTTCTTTCTATTCAGGAAACTTGTTAAAAAGGAAATATTGATGAATGTAAATATTTATTGCACGGTTTTAAGAAAAAATATTCAACATTTTATATTGATTTTAATAATTTTGTATCATCGCGATGTGCTGAGTCAGAGCTTTTCAAATACTGAGAAAAAAATATCCTTGTTATTGATTTTATGCTCAATCTAATTCACGCTGATCACGCGGGAAATTAGAAATTACATCTAAAAGCAATTAAAAAATTAATCCCAGTTTTCTTCAGAAATTTATAAACAATTCAAAGGTAAATTCAGTGTAAAGTGATAACTCGTCTTCTTTATATCCGTTGCCATCGATTAGGCGCTCGAACAAATGATCAATCATTCATCCAAGAGCACATCTGATGTTATAGAAGTAACAAAACAAAAGGAAACGGTTACTGTATAGGGTATCACTTAAAACAAATTCTGGTCAATCGTAAGTTACTTTAAAGAAATTACGTTTTTTACAAATGACAAGTTGCAAGTCCATCATGAACTTTGAACGTCAGCAATTTTAAAATCTGAATCTGCAATCAATAAAATAATTTGTTATCTGAAAGAGAAAAATACCATTCCTTTCGTGACAGGGGGCATGCTTCAAAAACAATGATAACGAATAAGCTTGTACAACCTGATAAATAAATACTAAATATTTTTGAAATTTCGTATAAATTTCGTGTAAATGACTTATTTACCAATGAAACCATAATCAATAAAATTAAGCCATTCATGGCTACTATAACGAAAAATAATCTACCTTATTTCAAGAGTATCATAAAGCGTGATAAAATAAAAACGTTGGAAGATAACTACTGCTGCTAAAACTGAAAGAATTTTACTGGTTGCGAAGGAACGGAATTTTTCTCGAGAAAAAGTCCTCAAGTATGAATTGACAGAAAAAAATGAATTACTCGGTAATGAAGGTTTGTTTACTGAAAGCGATAAAAGTTCATTGATAAAAGAAATGGAAAAAAAAATGTTTTCGTGGACAGAGAAAAATATTCAAATAACGATGTAACATGCATAGTTTATCGATGTTATGTTAATACTGCGTAAAATTTCATGAAAAGACCTACGAATTTTTAAAGATCTTGCTATCAGTTTTTGTAATTTTCTATTGAGTAAAACATAGAAAAAAAATGACATAAGAATCGACATTGTTTTCAATTCATATTATGATAAATCACTCGAATCTTCAGAGTATCTAAGAAGAAGTAAAGTTGAATTCATTGTTTATTATAATCTTTTTTCAAATAGAACTTTACCTAAACTGGAAGAAAAATTTGAGGTTCTTCGGAAACTAAAATATTACTCCAAAAACTTTTAAGATATTTTATTCTAACAGGAGAAAACAAATTGTCCGATTTTGAATTAGTATTCAGCACAATAAACAAGAGACTTTTAGTATCAAATAGATCTTGTAATTTAAACATGCTGCAGTGAAAAGATATTAAAGAAGCAGATTTGCAATTGATACTGTATGTTAAACATGCAGTCCAAAATAGTTATAAGATCATCTATCTCATTTTTTCGAATATAGATTGTAACGGTTGGTGATTTATTAAATGTATTAAATCGTCGTCCGTTAACAAAATCGATGTATCACCGCTGCTCGCTGTTTTCCTCTTCTGGCTAGCTCTGTGCTTGCCGCGCAACCTGAAAACGAGCGCGAAAGCACGAAACAATAAAGAAAAGCAATGGTCGAAGATTCCTCGAAAACGGTGCGGAGGAAAAGGGAACGTAGAGAATATTCGGGACTATCGAATGAATATGCCGGCTTATTAATATATTTCTACCGAATTTATTCAATTCTTATATCTATATTGGCGCGACTATTTACGTTGGCCGAGAGATTCGCGATGCGCAGCCTAATCGTACGTACGCGTGAGAGAGAGACGGAAAATACAATTTCGAATGACACGCAGCCGACGCTGTTTACATGCGCTCGCTTCCCGGAATTCTCGCTCGCAATACCGAAACAAAGAAGAAGACTTACGCGGGCGAACGCTGCTGCAGACAGCTACGCCTTAATTCTCCGCCCCGGTTGCTCGAATATCGTCGCCCAGGGTCGTCAAGGATGGGTGACGTGTCAGGTCTCTCGACTCGTGCGACAGCCTTCGTTCGGTCGCCCTTACTCGTCGATCGTTGCCGAATATTTTCTACACCCCCAGCACTCGCTCCTCACAGTCACTCGATTTCACCACACGGGATCGATCCCACGCTCGGTTTTCCGAAAAACAATCAAAAGGCTTTCGTGCGCGTGCGATATCCTTGCCGGTCTCCACTCGATTGTCCTGCCCGCGTGTTTTAGCTATTTCTCTCTCTCTCTCTCTCACTCGCTGCGCGGGTCTTCTGCGCATGGCGCGCTATTTCAAAATCGCTCATCTATTTCTTAGTGAGCCCGCTCGTTACAAAATGTAATAGTGCTTTCGTTATATTTTTTTAGAACTTTTAGTGACAATGGATTAGAGTTATGGTTGTATTATATAAATATGAATAAATATTTATGTATATTCGCTAAATATATTTTATAATTTTTTAAAAACATTGCGTAAGAGCCGGAAGGTTAATCAAAGTTAGGCTATCAGGGTACTTCAGATGATTTGGCGATTATTTGTAACTATCTAATCTCAGAAAATTAGTAAGGCTCATCTCATGATGAGGAGAAAATGCTTGTAAGCTGCTCCAACATCTTTACATATGGTCATTCTTATGGTCCGTGGAAAATTACGTGATTCTTTATCATCTCGAAAAATAATAATAATGGTAATATAATAATAATGATAATAATAATAATTGATAATAAGTGATTATTATTTTACTTAATTAAGAACATTACTTGGATAATAAGAGTTCAACGAATCTACAATGGCCTTTATCTGCTGCGATAGTTAGAGCAGTATCTCTTGATGACGGTACCGGCATTGCATTTACATCAGCACCTTTACTTAACAGAACTCTTCCAACTTCTACGTAACCACCACTAGCAGCTTCCATTAAAGGTGTCAACCCCGTCTAAAAAATAAATTGATTCCATATTAATTCTAAATATTTTATAAAATGGGTTCTGTTTAGGTTATTCTACTCTTGTTACTTTAGAATCTGGAACTTTTCAACCGGGCACATACATACATTCTTTGTAAATGAAAAATAAAATTTAAGCCTTTTATCAAATTATTTTAGTTTGTAAAACTCATTTAACCTTTAGAGGGCCGGGATTTCAAGGAGCATATTCATCACTGTCAGAAAACTGGTATAAAAGATATCTATAAAAGGTATTATTGATTGATCATAGAAAAAATGTCAATCGGGGGTAGCGTCAATATATTGATTCTCCGACCCTTTAAAGTTTAATAACCTTATTAAGCTTTTTCCTCAGCTTAATTGAAAATATTCCATGCATTATTAATGATAATCTGATAAGATAATTACAATACTATTTTCTCAGTATTTGCAAACTAATAAGATCTCTAGGACTTCTAAAAATGATCTCTATCTTTAGAAAATTATCTTTGGACCTAAAAATCCTATCGATACTGGGTGTTTGAATTATACTCCTAATCAGTTAACATTGGCGAATAATAATGCTCATAGAAACATGCTTTTAAGGACGGGGAAGGGCGGCTCGGTATATAAGTAAACGGTTTATATAGTAGCGTGTATAAGTTTCTGGCAAAACAAAAATCATTTAAAATTTACAGTTTTGCAGCTTCATCGAAAATGGTCGTAGTAGAACGCGCACAGGCTTATTTTGAAGAGCAAAGCAATATCCTTCATATGAGGCCTGCAATGGCTCGGTCAGTAGGGCGACGGACTCGCACCCGGTAGGCCCGGGTTCGATTCCCAGTCCATGCTGATTGATACAAGCACCACTGAAAAAAGTTTCATGTGCATTGTTCTCAAACACATCGCAAGCCTCCGTCGTTGATTAGTACTGATGGAGCATAAATAGAGCGACGTTACACAAAATAAAAAAAAAAAAAATATCCTTCATATCCCGCTGGTGTTTTTTTTAATTAAAAATTGTCTTTATTAAGTTAAAGAAGCAAATTATTTTTTTTTAATTTTTTTTACAGTAAATCAGTTATAACTTTTGTTAGACTCAACAGATTTCAAAAATCAAAAGTGTAAAAGTTGTATATTTCTGTTATCTTTATAATGAGCGCAACAGAATCCATTTTCATTGAGCCGACAAAAAGTTACAACGTTTTTTGTAAAACAATTCCCTTTTTTTCATCTTTAATTATCTCGGAAACTATGCGCTGTAGAAAGAAAATCCAAAGAGAAAAAAGGTTGTTTTTTAATATAAAATAATTATTCACTATCAAAAATGCATTTCGTAAAAAAAAATTTTTCCGTTTTTTCATAGAGATATACATATTTTCATAACATAGAGTGTAACGGGGGGATAAATCTGCAAAATGAGAAATTTATTTAAGAACAAACTCCCACGATGCAGAGCAAACCGCCGCTCCGTTAACACGTATGTTAATACGTGTATTCGCCTTAACCTCAGCTGACTTAACTTAGTTGTCTTCGATCAAGCAGAGTTGAACTCACCTTGAGTCACGTACCTTGTGATACTCGATGAGTTTTAAGTGTAATAGACTTTGCTCCTAATCCACTTAATCCCCTAGCTATAATCGGATTAAAACCTAAGCCTTTTTCAATTGTTTAAACTATTAGGAAAAATTATATGACGAAATCGGCGAATAAGTTTAATAGATTTTATTAATAAAAAATCTCTACAGTCTTTGTCGGGCCGAAAGACTGACGCACGCGAATAGGATTTACAATTAAATAACTTTCGGTAAGAAAGAGAGAGAGAGAAGATACGAAAATTGGCGCGATATAACGCTCGACGCGAATACAAAAAATTAACGCTAACACTGTTGGACAAAATATAAATGTATTTTGTCACGCGATAATTAAGGGAGGTGCACCTACCCTGCGGTGCAATTACGGTGATCAGCCGTAATTGTTGAAGCAAATTAAAGGTGCTCCTCAGATCAGAATCAGCTGTGCTGCCTCGATTGCAAATCTGCTGTATAATAGCTGTTGCTTTTGCTGCTGCTTCCGTGATGCTGCTACTGTCGCTGCTTCCTCGCTCACCCTTGCACACGTATCCAAAATCCAAGTAAACTTTTTTTATTGGCAAATCGGTGAAACACTGTGCTAAACTATTTTGGCGGTACTACACAAGTAACAGCTGATACGTAACTGCTAATTCAAAAGATCGCGCGCCCCCTCTCTCTCTCAATACTTAGAACTAACGCGCGAAAATCAGAATCGCGAACGGTTCGATTAATTGAATCGACTACCGTTGCAAGAGATACAATAATATTTATCACAATAGATCAAACTCGTGCATTTCACATATGTATTCAAAAAATTACGTTGACTACTGTTGAATACACGAGTTTGATGTATTGTGATAAATATTATTGTAATTCTATGTTATGAAAATATGTATGTAAAAAGAATATTAATAAATTGTAATAGTTAGAATTTAAATAATATTATTTATTTGTAATCATTTGATAGTCATATTTTACCCACGGTGAAAAAACGGAAAAATTTCTTTTTTTACAAAATTCAATTTCGATATTGAGAAATTATTCTACATTAAAAAACAACCTTTTTTCTCTTTGGAGTTTCTTTCTACAGTGCATAGTTTTCAAAATAATCAAAAATGAAAAAAAAAAAGAAGTTGTTTTACAGAAAACGTTATAACTTCTTATTGGCTCTATGAAAATGGATCCCGTTCTGCTCATTTTGAAGATAACAGAAACATACAACTTTTACATTTTCGATTTTTGAAATCTGGTGAATCGCTCAAAAGTTATAACCAATTTAATGTAAAAAAAATTTTTCTAACAAAGTAATTTGTTTTTTTATCTTAATAAACACAATTTTTAATTTGATAAAAAAAATACCGGCAAGATATGAAGAGTATTGCTTCACTCTTTAAAATGAGCCTACGCATATTCTTCTACAACCATTTTAGACGTAGGTGCAAAACTTTAAATTTTAAATGATTTTTTTTTGTCAGAAACTTGTGCACGCCACTGTACAACAGGATGTATAACAGGATGGAGTCACTGTTGCTCAGGTACAATTCTATAACTCACTGTTAGTTAGCATAGATGAAACATAGAGCAGCTGAATTGGTCTTATAATAGAGATTTATGTCAGATATATATCGCCAAACTAAATCGAGCAACTAAATTTCGATCTCTAATCAATATTTTTTTCTTTTTTTACTATAAACTGGTGAATACGTCGCACAATAATACTGCATTTGAAAATATCAGAAAGCCATTAAAACATATTAAACAGAGTATTTGACAAATCAAATATTTTACAGCCTTGATACATATTGTAGAACATAAAAAAATAAGAGGCACGTATTTTTTTTATCGGCTAATTTTCACTTTTAAGGGGTAAAAACCTCCCCACAATGTTAACCCCCAAAAAGCGTTTTGTTTTAATATCTCGGCTTAAAATTAATATTTTTCAGTGAAACAAATTGGAGGTTATTTCTTACGAAAGGAGCATGTATTTCATGATGATTAGAAGAGTAAGGGTAGCATCTCCTATTTTTTAGTGGTTGAAAACATATATTTTTTGGCATAATTTTATAATAAAAAAGTTTAAACCGACTAAAAAAAATTGGAAAAAATCTGTAAACATCCATAATAACAAAATTTAGTTGACGACTTTCGGTGTTTTAATAAATATTACCCCTGAGGGGGGTAAACCACCCCTAACACAAAATAACTGTAAATATGTAATTCAATATATAATATTTCGTAGAAAGTTCGTATATAGATATTTTCGAGGTCGCTGATTACAAATCTCTTATCAGATTTTGAAAATTTAAAATGGCGGAACCAATGTGGTGGACGAATATGTCGAAAAAAAATTTTAACTTTCATAAAAACTTGTTTACAAATGTGTGATCTTTGTAGCCTGTACATGTAAACTAAAGAGCCTTAAACCCTAAACCCCTAAACATCAAATAGGCTGAATGGTTGTGCTTTTTAACCAAACGACTCCAAACCCCTAACCTCCAGACAGGCCGAAGGCCTATACTTTACCGTAGACACGAGTATAGATATATTACCGATATTTTAATCAATCATTTTGTAGGTAACAAATAACGTCTCATTTTATGTTTCAATTGTTACGTCTCGTGCATCAACTACGAATAGCTAATGAATGAGACGTTCCAATATGTTGACTAGTGGTCGGATATGTCTCACTTATAATAAATATATGTAGAAATGTATGTCTGATGATTGTACTACCTTGATAATTGTAGCTTTTAATTGTGGATAAAGTGTAGCAGGCTCTAACTGCTTGTTGAATTGAATAGGATAGGTTGTTGAATAATACTTGCACGATATTACTTTGTAACAGTCGTGAGTTTATTAAGTAAAATGATCACCAATTGTCGGACCAGTGTGTACGGAGTTGAGTCTTACAGGTACTTATTGACTGACTGACTACTGATCAACTGACTCGTAATGATGTTCATTGCTTTTTATATGTTAATTTTCAGGTCAGTATTGAATTGTGACATTTTGTTTTTTGCTGAATATACATTCTTGTGCTCGGTGGCTTTATTTCGGAGTGCTATTTGTTTTGCGTTTTGTCAGCTTTCTGCTGACGTGTGAATATTTTAGCAGTTTTGAATTTCCTGAATATGCATTTGTTACAAAAGAGGATGTGTCGCAAGGTGTAACAACTTTATTTCGGAGTGTCATTTACCTCGCGTTTCGTCAGCTTTCTGCTGACGTGCGAATAGTTTTAGAAGCTTTGAATTTCACGAGTGTGCAGTTGTTACAAAAAGGATGCGTCGTAAGACGTAACACCCCAGGGCCTAAGACATTGCAATATGATTTTTAGTTTGCGGATTGGCAGCATTCACGTGCTGTGAAGAAAGCCAGACGAGAGGGCTTGCCCCTTCCTGCCGGGCCGAAACCCGGAACCCGGAAGTATGTGAGGATAGA